TGCCACGCATCGATCTCATGCACCGACACACAAATCGGCCCATGAGGTCAGCAATGCTCCTACTCATGTCGCGGGGGATCAACCAACCTTCTGCCGTCATCCTTTTGTGGATGGCATTATGGAGACGCCACTCCCTCTCGGATGGAAGCCTCTCCACCTCGACCGCTACGACGGCACGACAGACCCAGACGAGCACATCAACCTGTACACCACACAGGTAAACCTCTACACCAATAACGATGTTATTCTGTGTAGGGTTTTTCCGACCTCGCTCAAAGGGGCCGCGCTCAACTGGTACACCCAGCTACCTGCCGAGTCAATTGACAGCTTCAACACCCTGGTCAAACGGTTCACGGCGCAATACGCAACGAGCCGACCTCATCACATCACATCCGCCGCCTTAGCCATCCTCAGACAGGGCGACGACGAACCATTAAGAACATTCATGGAGCGCTTCGCTGGCATCTCCGTCAAAATCCGCAACTTAAACCCCGAGGTCGGACTGCACTCCATGCTCATGGCGTTGAAGCCAGGACCTTTCGTCGACAGCCTTTGTCGATGACCTCCTCCCGACATGGATGACCTCCGAGCTCGCGCTGTTGGGTACATCCAGATGGAGGAGCAACATCACAACCACACATATATAAAATAAACATCTAGCTGAAAACAAAAAATAATTAACACATTTAGAAAAATGATTGCTGCATGGTTCATCTATAATAGCACAAAACTTTCATCCATTTAACCATGCAACACACTGTAGTCTAGCATAGGCTTTTTTAGTCCACTAGAGCTGGGCGGCCTTATGCTACGGGGAAAAGTAGAAAACCATTAAGGAAAAAAAAATAGTCTGTCCTAGTTGAATTAAGGAGGAGGTGAAGGCAACCACACTCTGCATAACAAACAAGATGACCACGAGAGGTATCATTCTACTAGACTTGGAAACATTCAACTTGTTGAAGTAACATCACAACCACACATATATAAAATAAACATCTAGCTGAAAACAAAAAATAATTAACACATTTAGAAAAATGATTGCTGCATGGTTCATCTATAATAGCACAAAACTTTCATCCATTTAACCATGCAACACACTGTAGTCTAGCATAGGCTTGTTCAGTCCACTAGAGTTGGGCGTCATTATATTTATAGAGAAGACGGCCATAGAACATGAATAAACAAGGAATAAAGAATCATAAAGATTAAATGAATTATAATATTAATTCAGGGGCATGTCATGTTCAGAAATGTCAAACATAATTTCCAAAAGATGAATACACACAAGTGCAGCAGCTTAATATTTTGGAACAAACCTTCAAGACCAGAGCAGTAAACAGCACCAATTCAGCAAATTCACTGAGTTTTTTTTAAGAATTCCTTCAACCCAGGGCGTTCAAATACTGTAACATAATTGATTTTTGGTTTGGCTTCTCCTTCCTTGAAAATCCAACATGCCCAATTGAGGATATTATATTCTAGTAATGGACAAGCAATCAAATACAAGTTACAAAGTAACTTACCTTGTCTATCGATACACATTCCAGCTCAAACCAATTCAAACCACCTTCAATTGCTTGAGTCCGTAGAGCAGCTGGCAAACTTGATGTCTCATATGCACATACCAGTGTTTCATCCAAGTCCAGCACCACCTACAAGTGCACATGAAAGATCAAAATCTGCATTAGCAACTGGAAATTTGTGATAAATGGTAATAGAAGATTTGAGGAGCAGAAGTAACAAGGAAACAACATAGAGAATGACTTCATCAGCATTCTTCTAACAACTCATCAAAAAAATAACTGACGTAAAAAGCCTCTTTTGCACTATTACAATGCGGATTATAACTATTGTAGTATGAAATTTTTATATATTTGCACGAATATAAACAAATAACTGCATCTCTTTTTCTTTATTTTTTTTTATTCAAAACCTCTTTTCCCCTTTCTTAAAATACATCATGCACATCTCAACATTTCAACCAATTGTCATTAGTTATTTTTCTTCTTTCTTTAATATCCCATGTGACCAAACTTATTAAAATAAAAAATTAAAACTTGAATCTATGTATGTATTTTGACACAAAAAATAGAATAAAATAATATTACGAAACTATTGTGATCGTATTCAATTATATTAAGGTTGAATTGCCTAATTTTAAATGATTTAAAATTACACTACAATTGCATGTCATTGCGGTTGCGATGAGCAGTGCAACAACAATATTATGACGGCAGACCACAATTTAAAACTCTGATAATGACAAAAAGAAAACTATAGCGTTATTATAACATAAAGCAATAATATGTTGGTTGCTATAAGATTTCTACTGGCCGGTTATAAAGATTGCGGTGTGGGTTGATGTACTGTATTTAGTAGATATGAAGGAAGCATATTTACTCAAATTTGTTCACATAAATATTTGTTTTGTTTTCTATTTTTGTTTTTTTTTTTCCTTCACATTTCTCTTTTTCTATCAAGCCTGTTAAGCTCGGGCATAATTTAATGCATTATATATATATATATATATTATGTGAATTTTAATTTATATGAAAGAGACGTGTAATAATTTCATATTAATATAAATTTTTTATATATGATTTGATTTAAGTAAGAGAACTTTTTAAGTTATTGAATAATATAATAATAAAAGTTATACTTATGTAATTTGATATTTTTTCACTTATTGTAATTGTATCCTTAAAGTCAATCAAGATAAGTTGAATATATCAGTTACATTAATTTTTGAGTTAATCATCTATACATTGTTAGTATAAATTTTTTTTTACACTGACAACCAATCATATCTTTTAATAGTGTCATGTTAGTTGCTTATTTAATGAAATAAACATAAAACAAAATAATTTAAAAGATATGATTAGTTGCCAGTGTAAAAAACTTTACACGGGTAGTGTATGCATGATTAACTCTTAATTTTTTTATACTTATGTGTTTGAGGCTTGAGAAGTATAAACTCTCGAGTCCAAAATTGATTAAAGCAAATTATTTAAGTTGGAAATATATGGAACATTATGATAATTATTTATCCAATTAACCAACACAAATACCTAATGATTTAAATCAAAGAACCATAAATATTTACTACAATTAAGATCACATGTCGAAATTTTTTGAAATTATTTCTAAAAAAATATGACATTTTGATACATTTAAGCACAAGTTTATGACCTCCTAGAATTAAGAGACGATAAATTATACTTTTTGAGTATTTTGGATATGAACAACCAATAGATATTTGTAAGTAATTTTTGTACTAAAACAATAATAAACAATAAATCATGAAGTTATTAAAATTGGAACCACTTACTTTCCCGACCAGTGATTATATTGCATTTGTTTTTCTAAAGTACATCCCTTTAGGTTAGATAAACTAAACCGTTACATTAATTTTTGAGTTAATCATCTATACATTGTTAGTATAAATTTTTTTTTACACTGACAACCAATCATATCTTTTAATAGTGTCATGTTAGTTGCTTATTTAATGAAATAAACATAAAACAAAATAATTTGAACAGATTTCCGGTAAGAACATATATATATATATATATATATATATAATAGGTTAATAAATTTACAAAATTACACCTCTTTATATTAGGTTTATTAAAGTCTTGAGACTATTTTTTAGTTTTAACATTTTTTAATTTTAAAAATGAAATTTGTTTGGAATTCTCATTGAAATTAATTATAACAAAATAGAAATATTTTATTTTGTAACTAAATTAATCTAAATCTTAAATCTTAAATTTTTTATTTTCTTTAAAATCATCATCATTCTCAAAATCATCATTCTCTAGTATTTTCATATACTTCTTTGATGTTTTCTCCCACATTCTCACACAAAAGATTTCTTGAAGAAGTTTTTATTTGATACATTTCTTTTTTCTTTTTTTTTTTTTTCTTGAAGAAGTTTCTTCTTGATACATATTTTTTCCTTTTTATTTTTCTTTTTTACTTATTCTCTCAATTTTCTATTCATTTTATTTTTTGCCTTCATCTTCATGTTTATCTTATATTCACATTTTTTTTCTCTCATTATTTTTTTTCTTTATGCGACATACAATTTCACAAATAGGTTTACTGTCATTTTCATATAATAATTATTATTTTCTTATTTTTTTCTTACTTATTCTCTTATTTTTCTTTATTCTTAATTTCTCTATTAATTTTTTTTCATCTCCATGTTCACAATTTTTTCATGTATTTTATCTTTATTTTCACATTTATTCTTAACTAAAAAGCATATTTCTTCATCTTCACTCTCTCCAACAACCATCTAACTATGTCTTCGACAAGGATCCAATATCAATGTTAACTTGCTCCTTATATAATGCAAATTCAAAATATTTTGTAACATATATCATAAATAAAAACAAACCATTGTCATTGTTGATTTTTAATTAATAGGTACAGACTAACAAATTTACATTATTAGACTTCTATTTATTATACGCCACGTGTAAAAATTGAAATTAATGTATTTTTAATTTTTTAAATTACCAAATTATCTAAAATTTTAAATTATTTTTTTTAACATATGTCAACTAAAAAAAATTACAAGAATAATTATAAGATTTGTAAATCATTTTTAATCAAAGATAATTCTATGATAAAACTTTTATTAAATTATCTAAAAATTAAAATTTTAAACATGTCAATTACAAAATAATCACAAAAATAATTATAATATTTTTTACCAAAAAATATTATAAAAAATTGGTTTATAAAATTATCTAAATTTAAAATATGTCAATTATAAAATAACCACTAAAATAATCACGATATTTGTAAATTATTTTCATTAAAAATAATTTGATTATAAGAAAATTAAGTCTCTAAACTAAATTTTAAATCCTATTTTTTTTTTTCATAATGTCTAAAGTTTAAATCTTAAAATCCTAAACCTTAAAACTTAAATAATAAATCTTTTTAAATTTATCAAATTAATTAAATATTAAAAAAGTTACAAAAAATAATCAGAGGAATGATTATGAAATCTTTAAACCCTTTTCACTGGAAGATATATCTGTTATAAGAAAATAAAACAACTAAAGTAAAAAACTTATTTAAAAATTTATGTGTAGTTTATAGTTAAAGTTTAAAAATGAAAATGCTTAAAAAATAAATATATTTGGAGTTAAATAGAAAAGTATTTAACTTTTTTATCTTTAATTTTGTACTATTTTATTTTTATTTTATCCAATGTACCTTATCTAAAATTAGAAAGAAAAAAATTAAGTTGTACTTTTTGTCTCTCTATTTTTATCGATATATAATTTTAATTTTCTATTTTAAAATTGAAATATTTTGTCTCCCTATATTTTAAAATACATAATTTTGATCCTACTGTCAATTTGTTGTTCATTTATTATTAAATTTTGATATTGTCTGATGATTTATCTTAAACTCTAAACATTAACACTTAAAGATAAAATATTTAAATTTAGAAAATAAAATTGAAACAAATTTAATCAGTCATGCCAAGATAATTCACTTAGATATTGTTCATATAACAATTAATTTATCTTATATTTTGGATCATTGTCCAGGCATTAATTTTCACAATAAGTATGCAGATACAAATAAGCTTAGACAATCATTACTAGAAATATTACATATAGTGACATGCAAAAATATCACTATATAAATCAATTTGACACATACCTATACACAATTTTATTATTTATTTAAATAAGTTTCAACAACATATATTGTGTATCACTACAGTTTATACCTATACTTTTTAACAATTATGAAAAATATGACACCCTTTATCCTGTATGTTATAAAATATAAATAATATAAATTGAATAACCTCGATATAATAAATGGACTCAAAATTCAAACAACCAGGGAGGATCACAATTTAACATAAACTAACTTACGAAAATAACAAATTACAAATGAATTAAAATTAACTACTTAATGTAAATAACATGAATCAAATCCTAACTAATCTTAATTAATCTCTGGTGTCACACGTCTTATCAGAACAAAACCCAACATTGAGAACTAGGTCTCACCACCAACATCCTCAGTATCATGTTTCTACAGAAACCACAAGAAAATAACACAATTAAAAAGGGAGTGAAAAACATCTCACTCTGATTCATGGGGCAAAAATGCAAATTGGATAGTCAAACACAAATAAGGAATACAACAAGACATAACATACACAGATAATATCATTATCACACTTAGTTCATTCATTATATAATAAACAATAATAATTAAGATTGTAATGCATATGCAATGGCCACAAACTGCATGTTATCATGCATATGACACTAGTAAAAACATCATACTATTATGCATTATCGTTAACAATACACGTAGAGTAGTCTATGAGTACATGTTGGGCCATACCTGTACATGAGGGTAGGACTGAGACTTCTAAATCGAGCTATATATTTCCAAAGATTAATCCCCAAACTTTTACATAAGGGGGCCTTCCTGATAGTGTATCCCATATCGTTTCCTTAAAACACATTTTTATGCGAATGATGCATGTTAAAAAGACTCGATGCGATAACATACATATGATCTCACTTCACATATCACATATTCCTCATATCACTTCATGTATCTCATGTACATTCTCAAAAACATTAACTAATCATTAGTAAAAAGGTAGAATCAAGATCACAAGGATAAAACAACCATCTAATAGTCACTAAGCGAGCTAAGCACCCTAAAGCCCCTCGTTGAGTGAATAATATCTAGCTAAGCCACCAATATCTAATTAAGCGACCAACATCTAGCTGAGAGAGCTGAGCTTCTTATGACTTCTCGTTGAGCGACCAACATTTATTTGAGTGAGTTGAGCTCCTTGAGACTTCTTGTTGAGAGACCACATTTGATTGAGCGAGTTGAGCCCTTAAGACTTCTCGTTGAGCGACCCAACACGTCTTGTTGAGAGAGAACGTGATCTTCCTCCTTGGAAATCATGTCTCCTTAACGATTACAAGTTACCCATATCCAATTTCATACATAAACACATATACAAGCAATAAAATTATTGTATAACATGCAATTAACATTTCAAATCACTCAATTTACACATATCAATCAATATCTTAACTATCATAATAAGTTCCCTTAGGGTTTCACACAACAACTCATAAGAATCTCAGATCAAACAATTACAATCCAAAACATATAATTGATCATATATTCAACAATTCATGTAGTTAGGAACGTGCAAGAAGAGTAAGAGACAAAACATACGCATTTGGGGAAAATTCCTCATACATAGGCATAAAACATACATAGGATTGTGGATTAATCTCACTATTCAGCATATAGTCTCACACCAAGAGCGAGATTTCTCACCTCACTTAACTGGATAAGGACTAGACGATGAATGTAAAACTCCAGGGCGACTTCCCTTTACTTTGGGTTTTTCAAGTTTTGGAGTGTAAGCGTATACATGAAAATAAGGAGTGTGAAATTGTTCATGGGAAACACTCTTTTAAAAATTGAATCTCCCTTTAACCCCATAGTTAAAAATATTTAACTATAGTTACTAATTTCCTTTCCTTTTATTTAATTAAAATAAAATATTTAATTAAATACCTTAGATAATGTTTCAAAACATGTCAAATAATTAAAATAATTATTAACACAACTCTATTACTTAAAACAAAAACACCAAAAATATTTTTTAAATACTTATATTATATTTTATGAAGAATGGGTGTTACAAAAAAATTTACTAACACATACCAACATATATTATAAGTAAAAGTAATTTTTAGTGACAAGTATTGTGTTATTATAGAATGTGTATCACTGCAAAACAATTTTTTTATAGTGAGCATAAGTGCTTTGGAATCAATTTTCACAAGTAATATTAGATATTGAAAATGGAAGAATATCTTAATTAAATGATGGTTATCTTTCCATTGGTATTCCACAAGAACTTTTAATAATATACTTTGATTATTTCACAGTTGGCATCCATCAAGACCATTAATCAAATTAGTCACTATGTTTTGTCTTTAACTCCAACTATTTTATTGAATATATTAATTGAATGCAAACTTAATATTAACACTAGATATATTTTTGAGTTTTCATCAGTTATATTAATCTAGATTATTTCAGCTCATGAAAGGGCATGTCAAAGTTCATATTCAATTGACAAGTCAAATACGTAAGACAATCAAGTTAATATTTGAAGCTCTTCCAAGTAAATTCTTAACACTTCGAGAACATATAGTATTCCTAATTATAAAATAAAACTAAATGTTTGGTTCAATAATGTTGTTAAAAAATTTAAATCAATATGATAGTTAGTAGTTACAAAACTAGGAGATAATGCTTAGTAGTTCTACCTCAAAATTTAGCTATAAAATAAATACAAATAAGAAAGAAAAAAAGAGGCACTTACAGGAAAAGCTTTGGATATTAGGAAAAAAAGACTATCAACATCATATTTTCAAAAGCATATTGTGAGAATTTGTCTTTCAAGTTTGTATAAAATAACTATGCATAGGAAATAATGATCAATTAGTTTTTATTTATTTATTTATATTTTTTATTTCAATATTTTTTTTATAATTTTAGTACGTGAACCTTGATTCATATGTATTGCTTAGATGATAAAAGTTCATGTGACATTATAATTGAAATTTACCTTCTATATAAAGTATTATGTCCATCAAAAATATAAATTGAAGATAAAATAGTTATAAGAAATATAATGAAAAGTAGAGATAAAAATAAATTATACAATCGGTATACCCCTTATATATAATAGAGTATAGAAGAGGAAAATATGAATATTGTGTCTCTATATTTGTTCAAAATATAAAAACAATAGAAATTATTAAAAATATAATGATGGTAATATTATTTAGTGAAAGAAAATAATTATTCAATAATGGTTATTATTATAAAAGATAACATGTAGTCACTAAAAGAAGCTTTGGTTATAATGATAAATAGAGATAAAAATAAAAATATTTTAAACAAATATAGATAAATAAGTTAAAGGATAAATGAGTTTTAAGAAAATAGAAATAAAAAAATGGTATAACATTTATATATAGTATAATTTATTATGGTAATGTATTTACATTTGTTTGATTTTTTTTTTTCTATTTTCCACTTTTCTATTATTTATTATTTTGGCAAACAAAACAATTTTTCATAACAAGTGTTATGAATTTAACAATAAAAATTGTAATACTTATTAAACATAAATATCTAAAAAATAATGCCTATTTTACAAGTTATAATAAGAATAATAATATATAAACCAATAAATATGCATGAGTTACTTACTAATTAAATAAAAAATTAAAAAAATCCATAAAAATCTTCTCGTTACAAAAAAAATTCATAAAAATACTATTGTGTAACATTTGTTTGTGTTTAATACATAGGAAATTATTAAATAAAAAGTCAAAAGAATCCCTAAAAATTCTCTTGTCATAAAAAAACTTTTAAAAATATCCTTGCACAAAAATAACATTCATGTTTAATATATAGAAGTTGATATTTTATATTTATGATATATAAAGTTAGTTTTAGTTATTTTTAATTAAAAATAAAGATAAAAGATAATAAATTAAAATGAATAAATGATAAAAATGGTTTAAATATGTTTTTAATTTTTCAAATTTAAAATAAATTTATTTTTAATCTTTCAAATTTAAAGTTGATTTTATAATTCCAATAATTCTTTTAAAAAATTATTTTAATCTTTATGTTCAAATTTTATATAAAATTTATATATTGATGTTTTTATTAGTAAAAATGTCATATTAGATATAGTTGATATTACATATCAATTTGTCACTTCTATAAAATTTAAGTATTGATATTATTGTTAATAAAAATTTTATATTAAATCAATTAATACTTAAAGACATAAGAGGTTAAAATATATATTTTTTAAAATTATAAAGACTAAAAATAATAATTTTAAATTTAAAAAATTAAAAATAAATTTATTTTAAATTTAATCAATTAAAAAGATATATAAACTTTAAAAAAAGTTATACATATAAAGATAAAAAAATTTAATGTAATAAAAGATAAATTGGGCATAAGCATAGCGGAACCAAACATGGCCTAAATGAAAGAAAAAGTGAAACTCCAAAAACATGTTCAAAATCAAAACCCACGTTATCTGATGTCAACAGAGGCTGCATCAAACACCCTGAGAAGTTTCACCGTACTTGTCATCACTCATCAGACCCTTCAATTCTCTCTCTTCTGCCAATGACGCAGAAACCACCGCAACTCCCAATCCCGAAGTCAAAACCCATCAATGAAGAATAATAAATCACCTTTCTCCGTCACTCTCTTCGCCCTCTTCCTCCTCTCTTCGCTGCCCCTATCCCGCGCCCTCGGTTCCGCCGCCACCCTCGCCGTCACCGCCGCCCCCGCCGCCGTCTGTGGCGTGGTGGCGTCCGAGCCGACGCGGCGCATTGCGTGCTATCTCTCCGGCCGCGTCGTCGCCGTCGCCCCCAATGTCTCGTTCTCGGCGATCTCCGGCGGCCGGAGCTACTTCTGCGGCCTCCGGTCCGGAAACTACAGCCTCCTCTGCTGGGACGCCCTTGCTGGCTTCCAAAGCAAGAGGCTTTACAACAATGACACTGTTCTATTCGAGAATCTCGCCGTCGGAGACTCCCAGGTTTGCGCCACCGTGGTCGGCGCCGGCACGGCGTCGTGTTGGAGGACGAACGCCGCGTTCGAATTGCCTTCTGGGTCGGACCGATTTTCCTCTATTTCATCTGGGTCGGGCTTTTCCTGCGGAATTTTGAAGGGTAGTGATCGGGTTCGGTGTTGGGGGGTTGGGTCTGTGGCGAGGAAAATGGAGGGTGAGTTTGGGAACGTGTCTATGGTGAGTCTTGTAGCTGGGGAATCGCATGTTTGTGGGTTGAATTCAAGTGGGTATTTGGTTTGCAGAGGAAGTAACGATTTTGGTCAAATTGATGTTCCTGAAGGAGGGGCTTTGGAGTTTTCTGGTTTGGCTCTTGGAGCGGAGCATAGTTGTGCTATTCGGAGATCCAATGGTTCTGTGATTTGTTGGGGTGGGAGAGGTTTGTTTTCGGTCAATGTTACGGAAGGTGTTTCTTTTGAGGTTATTGTTTCTGGTTTTAATTTTACTTGTGGATTGACAACTAACAATTTTTCAGTCATTTGTTGGGGTCCTGGTTGGGCTAATGGTTCAGCTTTTGAGGTTCCCTTGCCTCCTATTCTTCCAGGGCCTTGTGTTCAATCCTCTTGTAGTGAGTGTGGGATATACCCTCAATCTGAGACTCTGTGTTCTGGCTTTGGTAACATTTGTAAGCCAAAACCTTGTTGGCCACAAATGGGGGGGCTGGCGCCACCGCAAATGGCACCGCCGCCTGCGGTGGCGGCGCCACCGACTTCTAAGTCGAATACCTTGACAAAGGGGTTATTGGCATTTGTCATTGTTGGATCTGTGGGAGGTGTTGCTGGGATATGCACTGTGATTTATTGCTTGTGGACTGGTGTTTGTTTAGGGAAGAAGAAAATTCACAATTCTGTGCAGCCAAGAATCACTAGAGGTGGTAGTATAAATGGTGGTGGTGGTTCTAATAATAGCAATAGTCCTCCTTCGAGATCATCCACCATTAGGCGTCAAGGGTCGCGGATAATGAGGCGCCAACGGAGTGGAACCTCGTCCACAAAGCATGCTGATAGAGCTGAGGAGTTCACCCTGGCTGAGCTTGTTGCAGCCACTGATAATTTCTCCCTTGAAAACAAGATTGGTGCTGGAAGCTATGGTGTTGTTTATAGAGGCAAACTCGTGGATGGTCGCGAGGTGGCGATCAAAAGGGGTGAAACCGGCACCAAGATGAAGAAGTTTCAAGAGAAAGAGAGTGCATTTGAGTCAGAATTGGCCTTCTTGTCCAGGCTACATCACAAGCACTTGGTCAGGCTGGTGGGGTTCTGTGAGGAGAAAGATGAGAGGCTCTTGGTGTATGAGTACATGAAGAATGGTGCCTTGTATGATCATTTGCATGACAAGAAGAATGTGGACAAGAGTAGCAGTGTCTTGAACTCATGGAGAATGAGGATCAAAATTGCGCTGGATGCTTCGCGAGGAATTGAGTATCTCCACAACTATGCAGTTCCATCCATAATTCACAGAGATATCAAATCTTCCAACATTCTAATTGACGCGACATGGACGGCAAGAGTGTCCGATTTTGGATTGTCAATGATGAGTCCAGAATCTGACCATGATTACCGGCCAGTGAAGGCAGCAGGAACAGTTGGATACATTGATCCTGAATATTATGGCCTAAATGTGTTGACAGCAAAGAGTGATGTCTATGGACTTGGAGTAGTACTACTAGAATTGTTAACAGGAAAGAGGGCTATATTCAAGGGTGATGAAAGTGGAGGCACACCAGTAAGTGTGGTAGACTTTGCAGTGCCAGTGATCATGGCAGGAGAATTGGCAAAGATTTTGGATCCAAGGGTTGCAGCACCAGAGTTGAATGAAACAGAAGCAGTGGAGCTAGTGGCATATACTGCCATGCATTGTGTGAATTTGGAAGGTAAGGACAGACCAACGATGGCTGATATAGTGGCAAATTTGGAGCGTGCTTTGGCTCTTTGTGATAGCAGTCATGGCAGCATTTCCAGTGGTACAATTTCCATTGTATCTGACTGACATTTTTCAAACCCTGGTAAAGGGAAACAAAATAGAAAATGTTCCCTGATTCTTATTTTTGATTCTTTCTGATAAATTATTATATGGGTATAGTTTACTCTTGGGGTTTGTAAAGACTAGTTATGTCACCTAACACCAAGCTGAAGTGTAGAATTTTGTTAAACACTAACAGCTAGTAGCAAAATTGATCAGTTATAAATTTTCTTTTGCAATATTTTTCTTTATCGTACGAGGTTGCTGATTAAAACTTAAAAGTATCATTTGTGTCTATGCATGTGACTGGGTGTGCGAGTACGCTCCAAATTTTTGTAACCTCTTCTTGTCCTTTATGCTACGCGTTAAAGCAACGTACTTGATGTAACCTATGTGTTAAGGTTTGTGCTATGCGTTTAAGGCATTGCATTTGATGTTACGTGTTAGTTTAGAACACTTGGAACAAAATCATGAACGTATTAGCTATTGTGCGTTAATTTGTTTACATTTAAATTTGGTCGGAGGGGAAGGCACCGTCATGAACAACTTATCTGGTTACGCGTTGACTAGGAAGCTACTTGTAGTTTACCAAGTCTAATGCAAAATTGACAATTGTGTGAAAGAAAAGGTGTGAAAGAGTATGAACAAAAATTAAAAACA